TAGTACATCATGTCTGGATTTTAACAAAAATTACAAGCATACCAAAAGGCAGAAAATATAGTTTGAGGAGACTGAACAAGCATTAGAACCAGAATCAGATATGGTAGGGATGTTGGAATTATTATATTAGGAATTTAAAATGACTATGATCAATAGGCTTAGGACTTTGATGGAAAAAGTGAACAACATAAAGGAACAGATAATGTAAGCAGAGAGATGGATATTCTAAGAAACAAACAAAAAGAAATGCTAGAGATAAAAAACACTAACAAATGAAGAATGCCTTTGATGGCCTCATTATTAGACTGGTATGGCTAAGAAAGAATCTCTGAGCTTGAGGATATGGTAATAGAAACTTCCAAAACTGAAAAGCAAAGAAAAGAAAAAAAGGCTGAAGAAAACAAATATCCAAGAACTGCAGAAAATGGAATTATAAAATCTCAATTAAAACTACAAAATACAGAAAAAGTGTGAAAGACAAAAGAACAAGAGCTGTAAATAGAAAACAATAACAAATATGGTAGATATTAATCCAAATATATCAATAATCACCTTAAATGATAATGATCTAAATACACCAATTAAAAGTGATTATCAGAGTGTATCCAAAACCAAGACCTAAATATATGTTGTCTACAAGAAACTGACTTTAAATATAAAGAGGGGTGCCTGGGTGGCTCAGTCATTTAAGTGTCTGACTTTTGTTTTTGGCTCAGGTCATTGTCTTGTGAGTTGTGGGATGGAGCTCAGTGGAGAGTCTGCTTAAAGATTCTCTCCTCTGCCCCGCCCTCCACTCATGTGCTCTTTCTCTCTCTCTCTCATAAATAAATAAAATCTTAAAAATAAATAAATAAATACAAAGACACAGAATAAATGGATAGGAAAAAAATACCATGATAACACTAATCAAAAGAAAGGAGTAGTTATATTAATTTCAGACAGAGTAGACTTCAGAGCAGGAAAAGTTAGGGATAAAGAGGGGTATCTAATAATGATAAAGGGGTCAATACTCCAAGATGACATAATAATCCTTAATGTTTTGTCTAACGATAGAGCATCAAACTACAGGAGGCAAAAACTGATAGAACTGCAAGGAGAAACAGGTGAATCCTCTGTTGTAGTTGGAGACTTTAATACTCTATAGGAAGTGGACAGATATAGCAGGCAGAAAATTATTAAAGATATAGTTGAACTCAACAGCACCATCAATCAACTGGATATAATTGACATCTCTGGACTACTTTATCCAACAATAGCAGGTTACAGGGGCGCCTGGGTGGCTCAGTCGGTTAAGTGTCTGCCTTCAACTCAGGTCATGATCCCGGGGTCCTGGGATTGAGTCCTGCATGGGGCTCCTTGCTCAGCAAGGGAGACTGTTTCTCCCTCTGCTTCTCTGTCTCTCTCTCTCTCTCTCATAAATAAATAAATAAAATCTCAAAAAAAAATAAAAATAAAAAATCTTTTAAAAAAAATCGCAGGTTACACATTCTTTTCAAGCTCACATGACCGTAGGTAGCCTTGGTGTATTGTAATCACCTGCTAATCACTGTAATCCCTGACTAAGAATGGTTGCAAATAAGGCCATTTATTGCTCACTTAACAAAAGCCCAGAGGCAGGTGTACTCAGGGTTGTTCTAGCAACTTGATGTGGATCAAGGGCAGGGTTTTATTTATTTTCCTTCTCTGTATTCCTGGTGTATTGTCATATTATCCTGTGGTTATCACCTCAGGATTACCAAAGAGTGCAGTAGCTCCAAGCATTAATTCCAGGCAGGAAGAGAAATTTTAGTTCCAGTCACCTCTGTTGGAAATAGGAAGAGAAATTTTAGTTCCAGTCACCTCTGTTGGAAATAGGAAGAAGGGGAACTGAGCAGTAGGGGGAGGTATTGTTTATTTTAGTTTTGTTTTGTTTTTGTTTTAGGAGATAAAGTAAACGAAGCAATATGCTATTGGCCCTGGATCTTTACACATATTTTTTCTTCTGCCTGGCATCTATGATCTCCTAAACCCTTCCCATATTGTATCTCAGTGCCTAGTTGTAGTACCTGGTACATGCTAAGTAGTCAGTAAATATTTTTGAAAGGAAAGCAGGCAGAGCAAAAGTAGAGTCAGTTCAACACAACTAATTTCTCTAAAACATATTGTCTAAAATCAGGGCAGGCAATCAATATAGAATGGTAAGTGCTAGGATACTGTTAATTACAAGGACTGTGGGAGCACATAGGAAGAGTTAGAGAAGACAGTTCAGAAGGAATAACTGATATCTAGAGGATGGTAGAAATAACTAAATCCAGACGGAAAGAAAGTCTCTTGGTTTATACTTTAACTTCCACACAGTAAAACAAATATAATCCTTTTTGAGGGAGGAAACCTTGAAGAGATTCTAGTGGGAGAAAAAGGTGAGGATGGCAAATAGTAATTGATCATATAGTGCCCATTATTACTAATTTAAGATGTCTTAAAACTGCATATTTTCTGTTTCTATTTTTAGTGAAAAAATAGCAAAAATCCAAGACTTCAGTTCTCCTATTTCCTATAATGTCTTAATTTTTTCACTGTTTTTACCATCTCCTACTCTGAAAGTTTTCAGGCATCTAACTATACAAGTTGGAAACTCCTAATACATATTTTGTATGTAGTAGCACATGAAAACGTTTTGACAAGCACAATGGAAAGGTTGCCAGATTAAATACAGGATGCCTGGTTAAATTAAAATTGAATAAACAAATAAGTTTTTAGTATAAGTATAAAATTGCATGGACCATACTTATACTAAATCACTTCTGTTTTTTTAAAAATATATATTTTATTTATTTGAGAGAGCACGCGCACATGTGCATGAGTTGGGGGAGGGGCAGAGGGACAAGCAGACTCCCTGCCAAGCGGGGACCCCAACATGGGGATTGATCCCAGGACCCTGAAATCATGACCTGAGCTGAAGTTAGACACTTAACTGACTGAGCCACCCAGGCACCCCTAAATCATTTTTGTTTATCTGCAATTCAGATTTACCTGGGTGTCCTATATTTTTATTTGCTAAATCTGGAAACCCTAACAATAGATACCAGATTTCAAAGAGGAGTGCTAAACTGGGATTTACAAAGTAACTGACTCTTTTTTTTTAAGATTTTATTTATTTATTTGACAGAGAGAGAGATAGAGAAAGTACAAGTGGGGAAGAGAGGGAGAAGCAGGCTCCCTGCAAGCAGGGAGCCCAATGCAGGGCTCGATCCCAGGACCCTGGGATCATGACCTGAGTCGAAGGCAGTTGCATAACGGACTGATCCACCCAGGCGCCCCCAAAGTAATTGACTCTTAATCTTTTAACTCATTCTCAGAGTATGAAATGGTCAAGGAGAAGATTTTGAGAGCACTCCTATCCTTTCTCTACTCTAAGAATTTACCACAGGCCCCTGCATTTTGGAGGCCCATAAAATGGGGCCTGATTCAATCCCTAAAAAAAGGCTAAGGCAGTGATTGATTGGCTAGCTGCACTAATAATAGAAGCAAAGAAGAGGCTGCTGCTGCATTGGGATAAGCTTTCGACCTCAGAGTTTACCGGGACAAAGTAAGCTCCACTGTTTCCTGTAGACTAGATGTGGGCCATATATGCATCTACCCAAGAAAGATGGCATAGGGTTGTCATGGATTCTGTCCAGGAGGGCTGCATAAATATGCAAACACATCTCAGCAGACTCAGCAGAGAAAAGCTGGAGGTATCACAAATGTCAACAACCAGTTGGAATAGAAAAAAATATATGTATGTATGTATGAATTTATTTATTTATTTATTTTAGAGAGAGAGTGCAACTGGGGGAGGAGGAGAGGGAAGGGAGAAAGAAGCATGGAGCCTGATGTGGGGCTCGATCTCACAACTCTGAGATCATGACCTGAACTGAAATCAAGAGTCAGATACTTGACTGAGCCACCCAGATGCCCCAGAATAGAAATATATTTGACAATATCAAGAAATCTGCAGATAAGAGATCTCCAGTGATGGCAATCTCCAAGGAACTGACCAAAGTACCTCATGAAAGAGTCAGCTTTAGAAATCTGCAACATTCAGGAAGCACTGATGTTAGAAAACAACAGTAATAGTCAATAAGAACTTTCCATTTCTCTCTCTTCTCCAGAGCTCTAATCCCTAAAGGGTCCCATAGTAGCAAGCTAGAAAAGTAGGAACAGAAGCAGTAGGCCAGAAAAAAGAAGCTGTTCATAATCCTCCTTCTCTGACTATAAGTTTTAATAGTCTTAGCTGGAAGATAGAAGCCTCAACTTTAAAACAAAACAAAGGTTTACTTATACATGGTTCTGGACATTTTACTAACCAGATAAACATATTACTGTGAAGTTGTCAGAAATGTCACAGAACCACCTAGGTTTTCATCCAGAGGTAGGGCAAGAACTAGCCCTGCTGAGTAAATATAGAGATGAAACGTCACTTTGGAAAATAGCTTGGCAATTTCTTATAAAAGTTAAACATAACACTTATCTAACCCATCAGTCTCACTCCTGGGTGTTTATTTAAGAGAAGTGAAAACTTACATTCACCCCAAAACCTGTTTATATGGTGCCTGGCTGGCTCAGTCAGTTAAGCATCTGCCTTCGGCTCAGGTCATGATCTCAGGGTCCTGGGATCAAGCCCCACATTGGACTCCCTGCTCATCAGGGAGCCTGCTTCTCCCTCTCCCTGTGCCTGCCGCTCCCCCTGCTTGTGCTCTCTCGCTTGCTCTCTCTCTCAAATAAATAAATAAAATCTTAAAAAAAAAAAAACCTGGAATTTTTATAGCAGTTTTATTTATAATTGTCCAACCCTGAAAACAACTCAAATGTCTTTCACTTGGTAAATGGATGAAAATATGTGGTACAGCCATACAATGGAATAATACCAGTCACTAAGTAAAAAGGAATGAATTAGTGGTACATATATAGCTGAATCTCATAGGAGTTACGCTAAGTGAAAAAAGCCAGATTCGAAAGGTTACATACTGTATACTTCTATTTATATGGTATCTGGAAAAGGTAATGTCTAACTTCACACCAAGCACCTGCTTTTGGTCACTCCCTGGTGCTATAAGATAAGGTCAAGTTAGGGAAACAGAAGGTATATGAATGACCAAAGGCCTCATTACCAAAGTGCTCCCATCCCTTTACTTACTGTGATTTAATGGATGCAAGAGATTTTCTGAAGATAGACTGAACATCTAACTGGAGTAGCATAGGAATATCTGGGTACCCACCCAGCTGAGCCCAGAGTGAATTTATTGATGTCTTCTCTGTTATTGGGTAGCTTGAAGTTGACAGATCAGCATTCCAGATAGCTCCCATTTGGTCTTCTTGTCTAGAGAATCAGAGACACTAATTGAAAGTGCCAAACTCTCCTGAACTCCATATCCAATTAAAATGTATGAATCTTATTTTCCCCTTTGCTCTTCCCCACTATCTTGTCCTATAATGTCCTCTCTGGCACTGAAGAACATTAGCTATGCCCCCTTTGAGAGATGGATTAAAACAGCAGAATTTGCTGAAAAATTTTTTCTTTCCTGAAAGCTGCATTTTCATGACTTCACCTAGTAATCTATTTTAAAACTATCTTCTTAGCTTCATGGAATATATAGACCATATCCAGACTGTTTTTTTCCCCAGAAATGTTCTTTTCCCCTTCCTTCCCAAAGCTCCTACCTTCTTTTTTTTAAAAAAGGAAAAAAGTAATGTTTCTAAGTTTCTTCATTCTGTTAAAATAACTTGTTTCATGGTAGGGAAAATCAGTTCCATTTTTTTTTTTACAAGACCAGGTTTATTTTTTAATTAATTTTTTTGAAGTTGAACTGATTTATTAAGTGAGCAAAAGTAAAACAATTCAAATTCAAATAGAATATAACATATTAATAAATGTTCCACAAATCTATAAATGTATGTCCTCATATGATTAATGAAATTAATCTTTCATCTGGAAAAATCTATTGACACTAGTTATGATTCAGTTAGATATAAGTTCAAAAGTATGATAAAAGAATTCTAACACTTTATTCAAAAAGTTCTGCCTGGTCCAACCATTTATTTGAAGTCTTTAGCATTCACAATTAATGACATGGAAAAATAGATACCTAGGTGAATCTTTGGGGTAAGCCCATGCATGTGAGATGAGGCACCCAAGACACATTATAAGAGATCAGTTTATCTCCCTCCAGGACCATAATTGTCATGTCACCTGTAGGAACAAGAGAGCCCCTGTCTTGGGAATGTTACAAAGGGGAGCCACTAAAGGGAAAACTGGACTTACATCATTCCTGGAAAAGAGCAGACAAGGAGCAGACCAGCATCATTTTTTTTTTTTAAAGGAACTCAAAATTAGATGTTAAATATTTACGTAGAAATATACATGAATAAGCTTCTTGTTAAATTGACTAAGAAAATCTATGCTACCTTAGACTCTCTACTGCACCATATCATAATTGTGGGGAAGGGGAAACTCTTGGGCAGGAAAAAACCAGTATTAGGTCCAACATATCATCCAAAGAAGGTTTAATGTCAGTCTTTTTCAAGCACATACCGAAATTTCTTCAATGTGTCAGACTTTCCATCGTCTTCTATTAGCAGCTGTTGGACAAATTTGGTAGAGGCAGGTATCTGCTTTTTATCGATGATCAAAGGGATAGGTTGACTAAGATTCAATTTATACATCCCTTGAAGCTAAAAATAAATAAATCAGAAAAGGAAACCATGGGGGAAAAAAAGGTCAGAGTCTTTAGGAAGATCTGAGCTGGCCCTAGCTAAACTATGACTCTATTTTCCATGTACTTGCAAATCCTTTTTCTCCATCCTCTTTCTCTCTTCCTCCAATCACACTTCCACTTCCAACACACAATTTCAGAGGTGCCACTATGTTATATAAAAACAGTGGTCCTGGGGAGCCTCGGTGGCACAGTCGGTTAAGCATCTGACTCTTGGTTTTGGCTCAGGTCATGATCTCAGTGTTGTGGGATCAAGCCCTGTGTAGGGCCCCGCACTCAGCGTGGAGTCTGCTTAAGATGTGGAGTCTGCTTAAGACGCCCTCTCCCTCTGCCCCTCTCCCCCACACTCTCCTGCTTGCTCGCTCTCTCTCAAATAAATAAATAAATCTTTAAAAAACAAACAAACAGAAAAACCCATTGGTCTTGCATAAGCTGTAGTTCTAGTCCTCTCATTTCCTAGCTGTGTGACTTTGGGTTAGTTGCTAATTTTATCTGCACCTTTCTCCTCATTTCTTTTTTTTATATAAAGATTTTATTTATTTAATAGAGAGAGACACAGCAAGAGAGGGAACACAAGCAGGGGGAGTGGGAGAGAGAGAAGCAGGCTTCCCGCTGAGCAGAGAGCCCGATGTGGGGCTCCATCCCAGGACCCTGGGATCATGACCTGAGCCGAAGGCAAATGCCCAACGACTGAGCCACCCAGGCGCCCCTCTCCTCATTTCTAAAACAAGGATAATAACACATGGTTGTTGTGAGTGTTGGATAAGATAATATATATGGAAGCACCTCATAAATTGTGAAGCACTATGCAAATCTAATGATAGCTAACACTTACTGAATACATGCTGAATGTTACATGCTTTTTATATATTAATTCATTTGGTATTTACAATAATCTTAAGAGGTGGGTACTGTTATTATCCTCATCTTACATTTGGAGATCTGAAGCTCAGAAAATTTAGACCTTGCCCAAGGTCTCTTAGCTAATATGTGGCAAAGCTGATTTGAACCCACACAATCTGGTAGGAGAACCAGCCTCTTGACCAGTGTAAGGTATTTATTTATTTCTACTCTCTTCTCCCTTTTGCTTTTTCCTCTCCCTTCTTATGCCTTGATAACCACTTCATCATCTAGATTGTGGATCCCCTGAGCCCAGACCCTTATTCATCCTCTGAAATGTCCTAGATATGAGATGCCTGTTAGTTCATGACACTGCCAGCTCAGCTTGCTTTATTCCACATACATTGGCCATATTTTCCAAACCAAAACCTCAAAAATATCCTTTTTTTTGGTCAAAGAGCTTTAATATTTGAAATATAACTGTTGTGGAAAATTCAGAATAGGTCTGATTTGGATCAGCTATGATAAATCTCTTTGTACCTTCTAAAGCTTCAAGTAATTTTATAAATTAATTTAGTGAAAGAAAAGGATATATAGATGTAAAATATTCCTAGAACACCAAGAATGTTCTAGAACTCCATGCTGGAGCATGTAATGGGAGCATGTAATCCCAGAGCAAAGAACTCTAATCTCAGCTTTATAAGTTTTTGGAAGGTCACTCTCACTCCCAAAAGCATGCTAATGGTTATCTCAGACAAGCTCTGGGACATAATGAGTGGATGTCAGAGTTTAACAGGATCTTCCATGCCTGGTGCTATGTAAGCAAGTTAAATAAACTTTTAACTCCTTTATTGTAAACTCATTCTATTAAATTTTGCTTTCTGATGGTTTTTTTGTTTTTTTAAGATTTTTATTTATTTATTTGACAGAGAGAGAGAGACAGCGAGAGAGGGAACACAAGCAGGGAGAGTGCGAGAGGGAGAAGCAGGCTTCCCACTGAGCAGTGAGCCTGATGCGGGGCTCAATCCCAGGACCCTGGGATTATGACCTGAGCCAAAGGCAGACACTTAACGACTGAGCCATCCAGGCGCCCCGGGTTTTCTGGGTTGTTTTTTTTTTTTTTTTTTTTTAAGATTTTATTTCTTAGTAATCGCCAGACCCAATATGGGGCTTGAACCCACAACCCTAAGATCAAGAGTCGCATCCTCCACTGCCTGAGACAGCCAGGTACCCCACTTTCTGATAGTTTTGAGGAGAGAAGTAACCATCATGAATCAGTTGGAGAGTGGTGACTTCAAGAGGTTTCATATCTAGAGACTGGTAGATGCGAGTTGACTAGGAAGGAGTTGAGCATTTATGGAAGTCTCCCCTATTCTAATCTTTTCCCATCCCAGCCAGTATCCCTGTTGTCAAGTTAGGAGTTTTCACTGAGGTCATGGTGTACTGGCTTGAATGGTGAACTCCTCAAAAGATATGTTTCCCAGAATCTATGAATATGATCTTATTTGGGGAAAGGGTCTTTATAGATGTAATTAAGGATCTCAAGATGAGATCATCCTGGATTAACCAGGTGAGTCCTATATTCAATGACATATAGCTTTATAAGAGACAGAAGAGAAGACATAAGACACACGGGGAAGAAGGCCAGGGGAAGGACAGAGGCAAAGGTCGGAGTTATGCAGCTACAAGCCAAGGAATGCCAAGGATTGTCAGCAGCTACCAGAGTCCAAGAGAGAGGCATGAAACAAATTTCTCCTTCAGAGCTTCCAGGAGGAAACAACCCTGCCAACACCTTGATTTCATGAACAGGCCTCCAGAACTGCAAGAGAATATATTTGTGTTGTCTTAAGCCATCAGGTTTGTGGTAATTTGTTATAGCAGCCCTAGGAGACTAATAAAAATGGTAGCTCCAGGTAAATGTTATTTTCCAAGCTTACCACTTTCATTTTTCTTACAACACACTGGGGAGGGACAATAGAAAACAAGTTACCTGGCTAAATAAGAACATCATTTTCCCCAGGCACTGATTCCGTTTCTGCTCTAAAGACTTCTGCTTGTTGGTCCAGACCTGCATCATCTTTTTCTGGTAGTCATCAATTCTGCTCAGCATTATGAAGAGGTTCTGGGTCTCATAACCTTTCCCAGTGTTTTGGATGGCTTGTAATCGTCTGATTATGTTGTTTCTTGAAAAAAATTAACAAGAATGAGATTGATATAACGACTGACCCTAACTCAGCAAACCTGGGCCTAGTTACTTTCAGTTCTTATCCTTAGCAAGTAGAGTGGGATGTGATAGGGGTGGGAGGCTTGCTTAATGAGGCCTTAATTTAGTTTCTTATATGACTAAACTTTCAAAAATCTTTATGACTGTCAAGTTTTCATTAATGTTAGAGTTTTTTAGTGTTATAATAGTGTTGCTTATTATTTTAATAGTTTTATATTTTAATAGATTTATTGATATAAGTCTATTTAATATATACTTTAATATTAAAATTTTGGCATTGATATGTATAAGACATATAGGAAGCACTTAATACAACTGTGAAAAAGGCATTGTCCTTGCCTTCAAAGCACTTACAAGCCAGAATAGGAGACTAATAAATTAACTATGTCAAAGAGAATGAAATAAATGCTAGATAGAAATTAAATTAAATTAAATAGAAAAGAAATTAAACATGCTGTTGGAGCAAAAAGAGCATAATTTATACTAACAAGAGGAAGAAAGAAGGCCTCATAGGAAGATGTTGCATAGGATCTTGAGGAACAATCATAAAAATATACTCTCTCTCTTTACAATAATATATACCACCACGTTTAAGCCTTCTGAACAGATAGTGTTTTGCCATCTCTGTTCTACAGAAGAGGAAAAGGAATATGAGCAAAGTTAAGTAATTTTCTGAAGTTACATAATTAATAAATATCAGATTTTGAAGCAAACCCAAATCTTCTCTATTTCTACAATACCAGCATTTCTCAAAATTTGGACCCTGATCACCTGGACTGAATCATCTGGGCAGGGGTGATGGGGTGGTGATGGTGCTTACTGAAAATGTGGATTCCAGTGAAAGTACAACTTTCTCAGAAGAATATAAATCTCAGTGGCTAACAACAAAATTTTACTTGTTGCTCATACTACAAATCCATCATGGTTCATCAGGGAGTGAGCTTCATTGTATATATACTCTGAAGGACACAGGCTATCTGAACAGCCATCACCTTGAACAATGTGGGTTATGTCAGAGGAAAAGGAGACTCTGGAGGGTCTCAAACTAACAATGACAAGCTCAATGCAGAAATGACCTATATCAATTCTGCTTACATTTCATTGAAAAGTCCTGGCAAATAGCACTAATGACTATCACAAAGATTCCACATCATAATAATAAAACTACAATGAATAATAAAAAATAGAAATGACTCATCTCTATGCAATCAACAAAAAATAATGCAAAGTCTATATATGGACCTAAATGATACAAGAATTATGATGAAGGTACATTCAAACCATAGGAGAAAAGGTAGATGATTTTGTAAGTAGTGATGGGGTAACTGGGTAGCCATGTGGAAAAAAGTCACATCCATATCTCTCAACAGGAAGTTGTGAATCAGAGACTTAAATGTAAAACAAAAAAACCAATAACCAACCATAAAAGTACCAAAAGAAACCTAGAAAGAATTTTTTATATTTCTCAGAGTGGAGAGAGCCTTTCTAAATAAGGTACAAAATATTATTAAAAATAATGAACCTGGGGAGCTTAGCTGGCTCGTTGGTAGAGTATGTGACTCTCAATCTCAGGACTGTGAGTTTAAGCCCCACATTGGGCATGGAACCCACTTAAAAAAATTAACAAACCCCAAAACAAATAATCTCATTAAAAAATGGGCAGAAGATATGAATAGACATTTTTCCAAAGACCTCCAAATGGCTAACAGACATAGGACAAGATGCTCAACGTCACTCATCATCAGGGAAATACAAATCAAAACTACAATTAGTTATCATCTTCACCCGCCAGAATGGCTAAAATGAACAATTCAGGAAACAATAGATGCTAGTGAGGATGCGGAGAAAGGGAAACCTTCTTGCACTCTTCGTGGGAATGCAAACTGTTGCAGCCACTCTGGAAAACAGTATAGAAGTTCCTCAAAAAGTTTAGAACTACCCTACAACCCAGCAATTGCACTACTAGGCACTTACCCAAAGGATAAAAAATAGTGATTCAAAGGGGCACATGCCATGTTTATTGCAGCATTATCACAATAGCCAAATTATGGAAAGAGCCCAAATGTCCATCAACTGATGAATGGATAAAGAAGCTGTGGGGTGTGTGTGTGTGTGTGTAATGGAATATTACCCAGCCATCAAAAAGGATGAAATCTGGTCATTTGCAACTATGTGGATGGAACTAGAGTGTCTTATGCTAAGCAAAATAAGTCAGGCAGAGAAAGACAAATACCGTAAGATTTTACTCATATGCGGAATTTAAGAAACAAAACAGATGAACATAGGGGAAGGGAAGAAAAAATAAGATACAGAGAGGGAGGCAAACCATAAGAGACACTTAAATATAGGGAATAAACTGAGGGGAGTTGGGTGGGGAGCATGGGGTAATTGGGTGATGGGCATTAATGAGAGCACTTGATATAATGAGCACTGGGTGTTGTATGCAACTGATGAATGCCTAAATTCTACCCTTAAACTAATACTACACTATATGTGAACTAACTTGAATTTAAATAAAATTTTGAAAGAATGAATAATTAATAAATAAATAAATGTCTTGATTATATCTTGAATAAGTCTGTTTTTGTACCTTGTTCTAATCCTTAGTTCCCAAATTAATTCAGTCCTCAAAAATGTAAATTTCATGAGAACCCTAGTACAATACTTGCCACATTCAATAAATGTTTGTTGAATAAATGATATAAGTTGTTCTTATAATTAATGATATATAAATAATAATAAATAATACTAATGATAACCTTTCCTAGTATAGGTTTTCGTTTGGCATCTTACAATTTTAGGTAAAAGATATCCCCCAAATAATAGGTTGGTAACCTCAAACATAAGTGCTAAGGATAGCAGGACAATTGTCACTTTCCCTATTTCTGCAATTTTTAAAAATCAAGACCAGGACCTATTTCCTCTATGTCAGTTCAGCAGCGAAGTTGCCATGGCAACACCTTGTATATAACCTGCCATCTCCCATTTTAAGAATCATACATCTTGTGGTGAACCCAAGAAGATGAAAGAAATTTAGAATACTTAGAAATTTTTCAAAAACTAATTATGTACTATACAGTGTTTAACTGAACATAATAAAAAAAAGAAAAAAGAAACAGCTTTAAAAAAGAATACTTAGAAGTTTAGAATAATTGGAGGGTGCCTGGGTGGCTCAGTTGGTTAAGCGACTGCCTTCGGCTAGGTCATGATCCTGGAGTCCCTGGATCGAGTCCCGCATCAGGCTCCCTGCTCAGCAGGGAGTCTGCTTCTCCCTCTGACCCTCCCCCCTCTCATGCTCTCTCTCTATCTCATTCTCTCTCAAATAAATAAATAAAATCTTTAAAAAAAAAGTTTAGAATAATTGGAAGCAAGCTTTTAAAGTTGATATTTTGGAGATCAACCATGATCCACAAAATATATCTTAGCTAGAGATATAAATGGATGAAATAGATCATGTTATATGACATTTTTTATTTCTGAAAAAGTTTATCTCCATTTGGTATTTTAAATAGGCTTCATACCACAGACCTTCTATAAGATAATATTCTAGAACATCTAATATGACAGATATGTATATAATTATGGGACAATGAAGAGAGGATATTTGAAATCAGGACTAAACCAGAAAACTGGACATTCAATATTTACATCTACCTTGCACGCTGGATCAGCCTGTAAGCAATGTACTTGCGGAATAGGTATCCCAGCCGAACTGTGTCCATATGAAGTGTCTCAATTATGAGATTCCTAGCTGTTGTGTGTAGCTGTGAAGGCAGTCCAGAAGATTTTGTGGCCTGATTTAAGAGTATCAGGTTCTTTCTCTGAGCTTCCACATCAACAAAATACCTCTGCTCTTTGAGCTCTTGGAGAGAGGAAGGGGACACCATCATCTTAGGTTTCTTGGTAACTGAATCTGAAGTCAGTATCCAGGACTTATCTATAGGGGGGAACTGGGTTTTCCGGTCCCATTCAGAAGATGAAATTTGTGGTGTTTTGGGTAGTTTAGTAGTAAGAGGCTTCATGAGAGGGGGAAGGGCCCTCCCACCAGTGTAAGGGGTTTGTGATACTGGTGTCCTGTAATTGGTGAGATAGGACTGAAATGTTCTAAATTGTTCCATGGCAATAGGATCATGGCATGTCTGGATTTCTTCAGAAGTGTCAGAGACCTCTGATATTTGGAAGTCCTTTGCAGTAAAAGGGACTGATTTCGATTTCAGAGAAGAAATAATTGCCAATCTTTCCTTACTTTTCTTAGATATAGAAGAGTACATATCTTTCTGGGGCTTCCCAGGGGTTGGGGAGGTCCGTAGTGTTGGAGGATGCCCAGGGCTGGGAGGGATCCCCAGTGGGGAAGCGTGATGCTGCCCAAGAGTAGAAGGAACTTGTAGATAGAGAGATTGCTCATAGGTAGGAGGGGGCTGGAATGCCTGGGGCTGCTCAGAGAGTGTTAAGGGTCTAGGTTCCAGGATAGAAGAGGTCCCAGAAACCAAGGGCTTCCTAGGGGAAAGAGGAGCCAAGAGACTGGGAATCTGTGCAGAGGAAAGTGGGACTCCAGATATAAGGGGCTGCCTGGGGGCAAGGGGGGCCTCTGATATCAGAGGTAGCTGAGGGGTCCAAGAGTCTCTTAAGAACTTTCTAGAACTAAGAAGGGTCTCCCGTGCAAGCTTCCCAGGGGATAGAAGGACCTCTGGTGCTACAAACTGAACAGAGGTGGATTGACCTTCAGAAACCAGGGTCTGTTTAGAGGAAGGAAAAGTCTGTGGTGCCAAGAGCTTCCCAGGGTCAGAAAGAATTCTCATTCCTAGCAATTTCCCAGGGTCTTGGGAAAGAGAAGACCCTGATATCTGCAAAGGAGTAGAAGAGACCTCAAATACAGAGGACTTCTCAGCAATAGGAGCAGATGCTGGGGCTTGCCTAGGGCTTGATGTAATGGATTTCCCAGGGAGGACAGAAGCCTTCAATCTTTGAAATGATCTAAGACTGGAAGGGGCCAATGTGGGGAACTGCTTAGAAATGTGAGGAGCACCTATAATGGATTTATCAGTAACAGGAATGATCCCAACTTTCAGGGGGGTACGTTCTAGAGGAGGATGGGCCCCAGGTGGTGAGGGCTGTTCACTTGATTGTTGGTCCTCCTCAGACATGAGAGTAATACCCATGGGATGGGATTGTCCTGGGATGAAGGGGGCTCCCAAAGTTTGTACTTGTTCAAGGGGAGATTCTATAGAATGGAATTTATCTGAGGTGAGAGGGACTCCAAATTTCCAGAAGTGTTCTGGAGAGAAAGAAACCCCTAATGCTTGAGCCTGTTCTAAGGAGAGAGGGGCACCTAAAGCTTGGGTCTGTTCAGGGGTAAGAGTGACAGCTGACAACCAGGCACTTTCTGGAGTAATAGGAACCCCCAATTCCCAGGCCTGTGCAACAGTGAGAGGAGACCCCCGTGCCTGAACTTTCCCAGGGGTGAGTGTGAAACCCAAGCTCTGGCATTTCTCAGGGGTGAGGGTGACCACCAGTGCTTTGAACTGCTCAGGGGTAAGAGTGATGCCATGTGCCTGGATCTGCTCAGGGGTGAGAGTGATCCCTAGTGCCTGAGCCTGCTGAGGGGTGAGAGTGACCCCTTGTACCTGAGCTTGCTGAGGGGTGAGAGTGAGCCCCAGTGCCTGGGCCTGCTGAGGGGTGAGAGTGATCCCTTGTGCCTGAGCCTGCTGAGGGGTGAGAGTGATCCCCTGTGCCTGAACCTGCTGAGGGGTAAGAGTGATCGCCTGTGCCTGGGCCTGCTCAGGGGTGAGAGTGATCCCCAGTGCCTGAGGCTGCTCAGGGGTGAGAGTCATCCCCAGTGCCTGAGGCTGCTGAGGGGTGAGAGTGATCCCCAGTGCCTGAAGCTGCTCAGGGGTGAGAGTGATCCCCTGTGCCTGAGCCTGCTGAGGGGTGAGAGTGATCCCCTGTGCCTGAGCCTGCTGAGGGGTGAGAGTGATCCCCTGTGCCTGGGCCTGCTCAGGGGTGAGAGTGATCCCCTGTGCCTGAGCCTGCTGAGGGGTGAGAGTGATCCCCAGTGCTTGGGCCTGCTCAGGAGTGAGAGTGATCCCCAGTGCCTGAACCTGCTGAGGGGTGAGAGTGATCCCCAGTGCCTGAGCCTGCTGAGGGGTGAGAGTAATTCCCTGGGCCTGGGCCTGCTCAGGGGTGAGAGTGATCCCCAGTGCCTGGGCCTGCTGAGAGCTGAGAGTCATCCCCAGTTCCTGGGCCTGCTGGGGGGTGAGAGTGATCCCCCGGGCCTGGGCCTGCTGGGGGCTGAGAGTCATCCCCAGTGCTTGGGCTTGTTGGGGTGTGAGAGTGATCCCCAGTGCCTTGGCCTGCTCAGGGGTGAGAGTGATCCCCAGTGCCTGGGCCTCCTGAGGGGTGAGAGTGGGCCCCTGTGTCTGTGCCTGCTCATCAGTGAGGGTGATCCCCAGTTCCTGGGCCTGCTGAGGGCTGAGAGTCATCCCCAGTTCCTGGGCCTGCTGGGGGGTGAGAGTGATCCCCCGGGCCTGGGCCTGCTGGGGGCTGAGAGTCATCCCCAGTGCTTGGGCTTGTTGGGGCGTGAGAGTGATCCCCAGTGCCTTGGCCTGCTCAGGAGTGAGAGTGATCCCTAGTGCCTGGGCCTGCTGGGGGGTGAGAGTGATCCCCTGTGCCTGGACTTGCTGAGGGATGAGAGTCATACCCAGTGCCTGGGCCTGCTGAGGGGTGAGAGTGATCCCCAGTGCTTGGGCCTGCTGGGTGTTGAGAGTCATCCCCAGTGCCTGGGCCTGTTGGGGGGTGAGAGTGATCCCCTGTGCCTGGCCCTGCTCAGGGGTGAGTGTCATCCCCAGTTCCTGGGCCTGCTGGGGGCTGAGATTCATCCCCAGTACCTGGGCCTGTTTAGGGGTGAGAGTGATCCCCAGTGCCTGGGCCTGCTGAGGGGTGAGGGTGAACCCCAGGTACTGGGCCTGTTGAGGGGTGAGAGTCATCCCCAGTGCCTGGGCCTGTTGAGGGGTGAGAGTCATCCCCAGGGCCTGGGCCTGCTGGGGGGTGAGAGTCATCCCCAGTGCCTGGGCCTGCTCAGGGGTAAAAGTGATCCCCTGTACCTGGGCCTGCTGGGGGGTGAGAGTGATCCCCAGTGCCTGGGCCTGTTGAGGGGTGAGAGTCATCCCCAGTGCCTGGGCCTGCTTGGGGGTGAGAGTGATCCCCTGTGCCTGGGCCTGTTCAGGGGTGAGCGTGATCCCCAGTGCCTGGGCCTGCTGAGGGGTGAGAGTGATCCCCTGTGCCTGGGCCTGCTCATCAGTGAGGGTGAACCCCAGTTCCTGGGCCTGCTGAGGGGTGACAGTGATGCCCAGTGCCTTGGCCTCCTCAGTGGTGAGACTCATCCCCAGTGCCTGGGCCTGTTGAGGAGTTAGAGTGAGGAACCTTGTGGGATACTGTCCAGAAACTGGAAGGGCCTCAGGTGAGGGTGATTTTGTGGAGGGAGGAGTGGTTGGTATAGGCTGCTTTCCATCAGCAAGAATGTCTAATGCCTTAAGATGCCCATGGAAGTCTTTTCTTTGGTGTAACTGGTATGCTGCTTTCGGTATAGTCTTCCACCGGGGAGACAATGTCATTGAAGTTTGGCTGAACATCTTTTCTTGTTCTTCGGAGTTTTTCTCATTAATCTTCATCTGATCTTTTGTTTTTTTCTGCCTCTGCCTTTCATGGTCCTCTACATTTCTCCTTGGCTCTTGCTTCTCCTCTTTCTCCCAATTTATTTCCAGCTCCTGATGTCTCATTTCCTTCTGAACATGCCTCTTCTGCTGTCCCTTCTCCTTCTCCAGGGGCACCGCTTGTTTTTCCATTTTTCGGTTCCATGCTTCCAGCTGCTGCTGTTTTGACTTCTGATAATCTTCCTCTTCTCTTTGTGTTTGCTCCTCTTGTTCAGTCTGCTTTTGCATCCTCTGTTTCTGCTGTTCCTTCCACATTTCCTCTTCCTGCCACTGTTTCTGCTTCTGTTGTCCTTGCTTTCCTTCCTTCATCTGGAGCCATGACTCTTCCTCCTGCAGTTTTTTATTTATCATCTCATAGCCCTTCTTCCAAAAACTCCCTTCTTGCAACTGGTGTTTGAGACCCTTACCAAATATTTTTTCTTGACCTTCTTGCAAATGTTCCTCCCGCCTATGTTTTTCCTTTTCCTTGGGGTCTCTCCCTACTGTTGAGGCTACTGGAGCATTTCTTTCCCCTTCTATTTCAGTCAAGATCATTTGTATCAAATTGTCAGTTAGTGGGTCCATGCTCTTAGATGACAGTAATGTGCTAATTTCAGTCTTTGCACTAATGGGCTTCTGAAAATGCAATCCTGGCATAATTGAGACTTCTTTTTTTTGTTTCATAAGTTTCTCTCCAACTTGTCCTGCACTTTTTATATCTTTGTATTTCCTCAAGGTTTTTGTCACAGTTTCAGCCACATTTTGGAAATATTCCTCTATTTTTGCCTTTATGATTCCTAATTTTTCAACCTCTGCCGTTTTTAATAATAACTCCTCTTTTGGCACAGTCTTTTTATCCAAAGGCTTTCCTATGTTATCAATTTTCTCTTTTAGGAAAGCCATTACGGCTTTTTGAAATTCTTCTAGGTTACTCTCTTCACTTTTACCGTCTGGACTTCCTAGAGCTCTGGTAGATTCTGAAGTCTCTTCTGCTACCCTAGATTTTGGCTTCACAAGTCCGTGAGACTTGACTTTCTTGGTGAGGACTAATATGTCCTCTTCGGTTTTTCTCTGTTTGCTTGTGGTGGTTTCTGAAGTGACGTGGTGTTTCTTTCCTTTTGTTTTCACTTTCTCAGAGGAATAACCAAGTTGGGTGAACCCAAATTGCTCTGCTTGGCCACTCATCTCACTTTTGCTCTCTTTGTCCATTGACTCAGTTGTGGGTTCCTCTTCATTCTCTGAAGAAATCTGGCTTTTGTCATGTGAATACTCAGGCTTGAGCTTCCTGAATTGTTCCCATATACTACTTGTTCCACTTCTGCCACCTTGGCTTTTTGTGTCAGTAGAAGGGTAATCAGCAGGGACATGTTGACTTCTTGAATCAGTGGATGACTTTGATTTGTCTTCGGAAATGGATTTTATTTCTTTTCTCTTCTTTTCTAGTGACTGTAGCTCCAAATGGTAATCAAGTTTGGTCTCTGAGTCTTTCTCTTTACCTTTATCATCACTCACATTTAATCCAGAGGTCTCATGCATATATGGGCCTTTAGTTTGCTGTTTTTTCTGTGATTGATACTGGTCAGTCCCATCTTTCTGATAGACATCACTTTTCTTCAGTGATATCTTATCTTCAGTGATATCTTCAGAAGACTTTTTTGGTTTTTTTTCAAGTAAAGGATATCGCTCTTCAATTAAATCTGGAGTCATTTCAACTGGGGCTGTATATGAAATAGCTGAGTCCCACTTGATCCCCAAGCCTTTGGTCCCTTTTGTTTGGGTCCCATCTATAATATTTTCAAATTCTTTAACCAAAATATCATCCATACTGTTTTCTGTGTCAGCTTTGCTACTGGATGATTGTGAAGAAAGCTCAGGCAACACTTTCAAGGTTGATGTGGGTAATGCTATACCTACTTGGGGTTCTAAAATACCTTTGGACCGAATAAATTGTTCATATTTTTCTTCTGCATCTTGAAGTTTCTGCTGAAGCATTTCATTTTTTTCACTGAGCTCTTGCATTATCTTCAGGGAGAGCTCTTTTTCTTTTTCACTTGTCTCACTTATATACATATTGGCACTCTGGAGGTTAGAAACTTTTAGTTCATCATTTAGTGTACTCAAAGCTTTGGAAAGGTTTATTATCGTTGATGATATATATTTAATAGCATTGTTTTCCAATTTATTGAACATCGTAGTGTTTATGAGTTCCTGTAGCATATCTTGGATTTCTGAAACCTTTGTATTTGTTGCAAATTCATCACTAATTATCTGATCTGGTCTTAAAGCATGAGCTGTTGCAGGTCGCTTTATAACTCTTTCTTTCCAAGATTTCCATAGAGTACCTCTAGATGCTAAAGGAAAAAAACCCATAAAACATAAAATAATGAGATGGCATTTCTTGTTCTGTGTTGTGCTCTATCTATGCTAAAGCCTAAGGAATTTAGCCAAAATTTATAGATAGCTATAGGATAAAGATTCATCAGAAAGCCGTGGCTCCCATGGGGCACCTGACTGTAGAGCATGTGACTTGATCTTGGAGCTGTGAGTTTGAGCCCCACATTAGGTGTAGCAACTACTTAAAAATAAAATCATAAAAAAAAAAAAGCTTTGCCTCCAAATTAAATAGTATTTTATTTATTTATTTTAAAGATTTTATTTATTTATTTGACAGAGAGAGACACAGTGAGAGCGGGAACACAAGCAGCGGAAGTGAGAGAGGGAGAAGCAGGCTTCCCGCCAAGCAGGGAGCCCAATGCGGGGCTTGATCTCAGGACCCTGGGATCATGACCTGAGCCAAAGGCAGATGCTTAACCGACTGAGCCACCCAGGCACCCCTAAATAGTATTATTTTTAAAAGAGTAACTCTTCCCACAATCACCTAGAACTTTTGCTTCCAAACTAGTCTTTATTCTTTATTTGTAATCTCAATTTACCTTCAGTTACAAGTTTGGGATTAGATATAACAAAACTTTCCTTTGGCTTTGATTATGCTTGGTGCTTTCCATTTTCTTTCTTGGCTTTCTGCCTTTCTTTTCTCACTTTTCTGAATCACACTTAATCTTAGTTCTTTCAGAAGAGTCAAAAAAGAGCAGACAAAAGTCAAACATTTGAAGGGATTTCTAGAATGGCTGAATGAGAAACTAAGCACATTTCCACCCCCAAAAAGCAATGATAAAGCTTGACAAAGCTGCCCAAACCAACCATTTTAGGACTTTGGAAATTGACCAAAGCTAGACAACAATTTGGTAAGCATTAATTCAAGAAAAATTACTAAACTTCAGTAAGAACAGTGGAAGTCTGTGATATTTTAACCTAGAGCTTCTTCTGTCTCTAACTCCCCCCCCCCCCCCCGTGGCCTGAGGGTTCTACTAAAGTGAGGCAGGCTGTGAAGTTTGACAGCTCTACCACCTAAGGGGCTGACTTGATCTGGAATAAAGCAGGGAAAAAAACATGCTTAGGGGCACTGTCTAAAACAATACTTCCTTAACCCATACATAGACCCATTACTGAATCAATCTGGATCACTTAATGATGGGCCAATTATTGACCACTAAGCTATGCTGACCCAAAGGTGACCCCTAGGAATTCAGGCCTTAAAATAAAAACAAAATGAAAAAAGAATAAAAGAATAACTGAGCAGAAATATCAGTGACTACACGTTGTTGGGGAGACAGACTCCACTGAATTAGTCCAGGGAAGTCACTAAAAAGCAAACCAAAAAAGGGACCAAAAAAAGCCCTGGAGGTTATAGGGAAAATCAGAGTCTAAAGTTGCTATAGGGGGCACCTGGGTGGCTCAGTCGGTTGAGCGTCTGCCTTTGGCCCCGATTGTGATCACAGGGTCCTGAGATTGAGCCCCGCGTTGGGCTCCCTGCTCAGCGGGGACCCTGCTTCTCCCTCTGCCCCGCCCCCCATGCTCTCTCTCTCAAATAAATAAATAAAAATCTAAAAAAATAAAAAAAAAGGTTGCTATAATATGTTATTTAAAATGTCCAGGTTTTTTAGGTGGGGGAGGGGCAGAGGGAGAGGGAGAGAGAATCTCAAGCAGGCTCCCTGTCCAGTGTGGAGCCCAATGTGGGGCTTGATCTCACAACCCTGAGATCATGACCTGAGCTGAAATCAAGAGTCAGATGCTTAATTGACTGAGCCACCCAGGTGCCCCTAAAATGTCCAGTTTTTAACATAAAAGGATCATGCAGAGAAACAGAAAAGTATAACCTGTACATGGGATAAAATCAGTCAATAGAAATTGTCTCAGGGATTGGCAGGGGAGCAGATGTTGCACTTATCAGAAAAAGACTTTGAAAGAAGAATTATAACTATGTTCAAAGAACTAAAGGAAGCCAAATTTTAAAATAAAGGAAAAATACAATGACAATTATCATCAAATAGAGCATATCAATAAAGAGATGGAAATTAGAAAAACCAAGTGGAAAATATAGACTTGCAAAGTACAATAACTGAAATGAAAAATTTACCAAAAGGGCCCAACAGTAGATTTGAAATGACAGAAGAAAATAACCAGCAAATTTGACACTAGGTTAGTAGAGATTGTCTAATCTGAAGAACAGGGAGGAAAAAGAATAAAAAAAAAATGAAAAAAGCCTCAGAGACCTGTGGGACACCATCAAACGTGCCATTGTAAAAGTGATAGAAGTCCCAGAAGAAGAGGAGATAGAGAGGGACATTAAAAATATTGAGGAAGTGGGGGCTCCTGGGTGGCTCAGTCTGTTAAGCATCTGCCTTCAGCTCAGGTCATGATCTCAGAATCCTGGGATTGAGCCCTGTGTCAGACTCCCAACTCAGGGGGGGCATTTGCTTCTACCTCTCCCTCTACTCTCCCTCTGCCCTCCCTACCCCACTCATGCTCTCTCTCTCTCAAATATATAAATAAAATCTTAAAAAATATATTGAAGAAATAATAATGGCCAAATTATCTCAAACTTGATGAAAAACAATCTACACATTAAAGAAGCTCATTGAACTCTAAGTAAGATAAACATAAAAAGATCCATACCTAGATACATCATATTCAAACTGTTGAAAGCTACACAATGAGTCTTTAAAGCAAAAAGAAAAAAATGACTTATCACAATCAAAGGAGACTCAAAACTCAAAGTACAGGGGAACCATAGTAAATTTAATAGCTTACTACTTATTAGAAACAATAGAGGCCAGAAGACAGAGAGATGACAAATTCAAAGCGCTGAAAGAATAATTCTGCTAACCAAGAATTCTATATCCAGGGAAACTACTCTTCAAAAAATGAAGGTAAACCATCCATTCCCTGAAATAACACTCTTCCCAAAGTAGCATGCACATGCAACTCTCATAACCATCCTCATTACATGTATCTTTTAACACTTCTCTAAATGCATTACAGAATTTCTATTACATCCATTCCCTGAAACAACACTCTTTTCAAAGTAGTATGCACATACAATTCTTGTAACCATCCTTATTACATGTGTGGGTTTTTTTTTTTTTTTAAAGATTTTATTTATTTGACAGAGAGAGACACAGCGAGAGAGGGAACACAAGCAGGGGGAGTGGGAGAGGGAGAAGCAGGCTCCCCACAGAGCAGGGAGCCCGATGTGGGACTCGATCCCAGGACCCTGGGATCATGACCTGAGCCAAAGGCAGTCGCTCAACCGACTGAGCCACCCAGGTGCCCATTACATGTGTTTTTAAACAGTTCTCTAAATATATTACAGTATTCACTGAAATAACTCTTTTCAAAGTACCATACATGTACAATTATTTTTTTAAATGAAGGTAAGAAATAAGACATACAGATGACAACTAAGGATATGAAAAGATGCTCAGTATTGTCTGTCATTAGAGAATTGCAAACTGGTGCAGCCTTTCTGGAAAACAGTATAGAAGTTCCTCAAAAAGTTAAAAATAGAACTACCCTACAACCCAGCAATTGCACTACCAGGCACTTAATCAAAGGATACAAAAAATAGTGATTTGAGGGGGTACATTTGAGGGGGGTACATCGCAGCATTATCAACAATAGCCAAATTATGGAAAGAGTCCAAATATCCACCAACTGATGAATGGATAAAGAAGATGTGGTATATATATATATATATATATATATATATATATATATATATATATATATATATATGTATGTATACAATGGAATATTACTCAGCCATCAAAAAGAATGAAATCTTGCCATTTGCAATGATGTGGATGGAGCCAAAATGTATTATGCTAAGCGAAATAAGTTAGTCAGAGAAAGAAAAGTACCATATGATTTCACTTATATGTGGAATTTAGGAAATAAAACAGATGAACATAGGGAAAGGAAGAAAAGAAAAAGAGAGGGAGGCAAACCCATAAGAGACTATTAACTATGGAGAACAAACTGAGAGTTGCTGGAGGGGAGGTGGGCAGGGGATGGGCTAAACAGGTGATGGGGATTAAGGAGGGCACTTTTTGTGATGATCACTTGGGTGCTATATGTTATATTTAGTGGTGAATCACTAAATTCTACTTTAAAAAAAATTTTTTTTTTAAAGATTTTATTTATTTATTTGACAGAGAGAGACATAGCGAGAGCAGGAACACAAGCAGGGGGAGTGGGAGAGGGAGAAGCAGGCTTCCCGCAGAGCAGGGAGCCCGATGTGGGACTCGATCCCAGGACCCTGGGATCATGACCTGAGCCGAAGGCAGACGCTTAATGACTGAGCCACCCAGGCGCCCAAATCACTAAATTCTACTTCTGAAACCAATATTGCACTGTGGGTTAACTAACTAGAATTTAATTAAAAACTTGAAACAAAAAAAAGAGAGAGAGAATTGCAAATTACGAGATACTGTTACACATATATGAAAATGGCTAGAATCCAAAAAACTGATAATGCCAAATGCTAACAAGGACATGGAGTGACAGGAAATCTTGTTTGTTGCTGGTAGGAATGAAAAATGACATAGCTACTTGGGAAGACAGTTTGGCAGTTTTTTACAAAGTTACTTATGAAGTAATGTAGTCTTATCGTATGATCTAGCAATCATGCTCCTAGGCATTTACCTAATTAATTTGAAAACTTATGTCTATGAGAATGTTTATATATAGCAGCTTTATTCTTAATCACCAAAACTTGGAAGCAGTCAAGTGTCCTTCAGTAGGTAGATAAACAAACTGGTGAATCTATACAATGGAATATTATTCAGCAGTAAAAAGAAATAAGCTATTAAGCCACAAAAAGATAGGGAGGAACCTTAAATGTGTATTGCTAAGTGATAGAAGCCAGTGTGAAAAAGCTACATACTGCATGATTCCAATTATATGGCATTCTTGAAAAGTCAAAAGTATGGAGACATTAAAAAAATCAGTAGTTATCAGGAGTTTGGGGAGAAAGGGGAAGGATTAATAGGTGAAACACAGGGGATTTTTAGGATGGAGAAACTATTCCATATGATACTGTAATGGTGGATACATGACAATATACATTTGTCAAATCCCATAGAACTCTATAGCTCAAAGAGTGAAACTTCATGAATGCAAAATTTTTTTTTAATTTTTTTTTAGGTTTTAATTTATTTATTTGAGAGAGAGAGACAGAGCTAGTGAGAGAGAGCAGAAGTGGGGAGGAGAGGGAGAAGCAGGCTCCCTGCAGAGCAAGGAGCCTGATGTGGGACTCGATCCGAGGACCCCAGGATCATGACCTGAACTGAAGGCAGATGCTTAACTGACTGAGCCACCCAGGTGCCCTGAATGCAAAAATTTTTAAATACCCATTTAGGAGGTCAGGGGATCCCAGGAAAGAATGTAGATTGTGATAAGAGAGTCTAACTGTATAAGAAATGTATGACACAACCTCACTGAAAGGAATGAGGGGGAGGGGAGAGTGCTGACCTAAGTAACTGGAAATGGAGTTTGTAAGACTGCAGGCAAAGGGAACTGCGTGTAAGTACTGTACCCTAGTTGATAAGTTATTCCTCACTGGGGTATGGGTTAATAATTCTGATACTGCTATGCATGTATACTGGAATTGAACAATTAAGTAAAACAGATGGTAGGAGGAAGTTTCTCATTGAGTTGTAATTTATAGATAAGCAAGGGGAAGAAACTAAAATGATCCATGTGTGTGATAATGAATTAGAGTTACAGAAATCAGTATGAACTTATGTTTAAAGTGTTAGATTTGATTGATTGATTGATTGATTGATTGATTTATAGATATGGGTATACACATTGGGTCTATACACAAACATTTTTTTTTGCTCTGTCAGATGAGAGAACTGAACAGAAATGATACCCCAGTAGCAATGAGCACTCCTAGCAACCAGACTTTGCTTTTTAATACTATTCTCCACTAAAAGGAACCAGAAATCCTTGGAGAAATGGCAGATTCTAGGATTGGGGCAGGACATATTTGAGATGAACCTGAAGCATCTTGTAGTGCCAGAAAGTAGGGAAGTGCCAAAAAAATAAAAAAGAAAAACCACACTGATGGGGTTATGTTAAAGGGGCACAGGAACCAAGTGAAAGAGGTCCCAATGGCCAAAACTAGAACAGCTTGAGCAAGAAAATAAAGTAGAATTGGATTATAACTCAAAGTACAAAATATCTGTTGAGTTCATTTTGATATAAATAATTGAGTAAATTAGTAAACAAGGAAGAAGAGATAAACTCTAGTGCATAAAAACTCCAAATAATTTATGTAGATATTCATCCTAAAAGAAAGGGAGCATAACTCCCCATTCCTTACATGTGGGCTGCACATACAGACTTACTTTTAAAAAGCACAGCATGGAAAATGAGGAAAAAGAGTAAGTTTACAGTGGAGAAACCTGACAAGCACTACTTTAGCTAGGTAATCAAGGTCAACATTAAGTCATCAATCATTTGATAGTATGTGCCCTTGAAATTATATGATGACAATGGTACTTTACCTCTGTGATCTTTCCTCTCAGAACCCATAACCCCAGGGTAAACATGAGAAAAAACATCAAATTCCAACAGGGGAGCCTCTTATAATATATCTGACTGGTACTCCTCAAGCCTGTCAGGAACATCAAACAGGAGGAAAAGTCTGAGAAACTGTCACAGCCAAGAAAGCCTAAGGAGACATGACAACAGTGTAATCAGGTACCCGGATGGGATCCTGAAACAACACAAGGACATTAGGTAAAAACGAGGAATTATGACTTCAGTCCAAAATTATGGACTTTAGTTAATAATGTGTCAATACTGGTTTGTTGATTGTAACAAATGAATCATACTAATGTAATATATTAATAATAAGAGAAACTCTGAAGAGATATATGGAATTCTCTGTATTATTTTCTCAATTTTTCTCTAAATCTAAAACTGCCTTAAAAAAAATGAAAGTGAAATAAAGACATTCCCAGATAAGCTAAGAGGGAAAGAATGCTTCTAGTAGACTGCCTTACAAGGAATATAAAGAAGTCCTTCAGACTGAAAGGAAATGATACCAGAGGATAACTCAAATTCACACAAAGAAATAAAGAACACCAGTATATGTAGGTAAAAATAAAAGAAAGTAAAAATATTTTTTCTTTTTCCTCTCTTAACTGATTAAAAAGACAATCTATAAAACAATAATTATGAAACTATATTGTTGGGCTTAGAAACATAAAAATGTAATATATATGACAAAGCACAAAGGAGGGGAAGAGAATGGAGCTATTGAAGCAAAGATTCTATATTTTGCTGGTATTAAGTTAGTACTAATCTTAAATAAATTATGATAATTTATGATGTACACTGCAATCCTTTAGAGCAGCTACTAAGGAAGTTACTCCAAAAATATAGGGGGAAAATGGAATTGAAATTGGACACTAAAAAATATTTGTTTAACACCGAAGGTAGTAGAAGAAGAACAGGGGAACAAGAGATGAGACATGAGAAACAAACAAAAACGTGGCAGGTATAAATCCAACCATATTAATAATTACATTAAATATTAATGAATCAAGCACTCCAATCATAAGTCAAAGATTGCCAAATTTTATGTGTGTGTAGGTGTTATGTGTGTGTGTGTGTATATATATATATATATATATATATATATATATATTTAAAAGCTGACAAGATCCAACTATAAGCAACACATCTTTGATTCAACCTTGCAAACAGTAACCGCAGGGGAGCTGGAGATAATATACTTATATCAAACATAATAGACTTTTTTTTAAAAAAGATTTTTATTTATTTATTAGAGAGAGAATGAGAGACAGAGAGCATGAGAGGGAGGAGGGTCAGAGGGAGAAGCAGACTCCCTGCCGAGCAGGGAGCCCAATGTGGGACTCGATCCTGGGACTCCAGGATCATGACCTGAGCCGAAGGCAGTCGCTTAACCAACTGAGCCACCCAGGCGCCCCTCAAACATAATAGACTTTAAGACAAAAAATGTTTCTAGAGACAAAGAGGGACATTTTATAATAAGAAGAAGGTCAGTTCATCAGGAAGCTATCACAATTGTAAACATATATGCACCTAATAACAGAGACTTAAAATATAGGAAGCAAAAACTGACAGAATTAAAGAGAGAAATAGACAACTCAATAATAATAGTTGGAAAGTTCAATATCCCACTCTCAATAATAGAACAACTAGACAGAAAATCAGTAAGGATATATATAGAAGACTAAAACAACAATATAAATCAATTATAGAACACTCCACCCAACAACAGCTAAATATATATTCTTTTCAAGCACACACGGAACATTCTCCAGGATAGACCATATGGTAAGCTATAAAGCAAGTCACAATGAATTTAAAAGGATTGAAAGAATACAAAGTACATTCCCCAAAATACTTTGTAATGGGTAGTTAGATAATATATAATTTCCTAGTGGTTCTGCTTCTCTGGTTCAACACTGACTGATACAAGTTTTTAATACAACACTAAAACCATGATCCATAAAAGAAAACATTGATAAATTGATTTGACTTCATCAAAATCCAACACCATTGAGCTTCAAAGACCCCACTTAAGAAAGTGAAAAGACAAACCACAGATTGAGAGAAAATATTTGAAAATCACATTTCTTTTTTTCTTAAGATTTTATCTATTTGGGGTGCCTCCCTCTGCTTGTGTTCCTTCTCTTGCTCTGTCTCTCTGTCAAATAAATAAATAAAAATTTTTTTAAAAAAGATTTTATTTATTTGAGAGAGAGGGAGAATGAGCAAGAGAGTGAGAACACAAGCAGTGGGAGGAGCAGAGGGGGAGGGAGAAACAGGCTACCCATTGAGCAGGGAGCCAGATGCAGGGCTCAATCCCAGGATCCTGGGATCACGACCCAAGCCTAAGGCAGATGCTTAACAAACTGAGCCACCCAGGCACCCTGAAAATCACATTTCTGATAAAGGACTTGTATCCAGAATACATAAAGGACTCTTAAAACTCAATAATAAAATGGGTAAATATTTGAATAATCATTTCATCAAAATAAATATAAGAGTGGCTAATAAGCACCTGAAAAGATGCTCGACATCATTAGTCTTTAGGGAAATGCCATTTAAAACCACAGTGGGATACCACTTCACACATCTTAGTAAGGTTATACTAAAAAAGACCATAACAAGTATTGCTGAGAATGTGGAGAAACTGGAACCTTAATACATTGCTGATGGGAATATAAAATAGCGCTGTCACTTGGGCAATAAGTTAACAATTTCTTAAAAAGTTAAGCATAAACTTACCATCAATTCATAAATGACCCAGAAATTCTACTCCTGGGTATCTACCCAAAAGAAATGAAAACATATGTCCACACAAAGACTTATACATGTGTGTTCATATCAGCATTATTCATAAAAGTGAAATGTAGAAACATTCCAATGTCCATGAACTGGTGAGTAGGTAAACAAAATGTGGTATATGCAAACAGTGAGATACAATTGGTAATAGAAAGAAACTACTAATACATTCTATAACATGGCTGAATCTCAAAATCATTATGTTAAATAAAAGAAACCAGATATTTAAAAAAAAACCACATATAATATGATTCCATCTTATGAAACATCCAAAAAAGGCAAACCTATTGAAACAGAAAATAGATTGGTGCATGTCTGGGACTGGGGTGGGAAAGAGGATTGACTGCAAATGGGCATAAGGGATCTTTTTGGGATGAAGGAAATGTTCTAAAATTGAATTGTGGTGAGTTACACAACTCTAAATTTATTAAAAGTCATTGAATTGTACACTTAACATATATGAGTTTTATGGTATGTAAATTGTACCTTAATAAAGCCATTATTTAGAAAAAGTCAAATCTGTTTCCAATGTCTTAAAGCACCCTTACTTATTTTTTTCTTTTGTCTCTTCTTTTCTTCAAGCAAAGATACACTAATTCTACTCAGTATCTTGACGTTGTTCTCAATAGCTTTGAATGTTTCTGGTAAAAACTCCATTTGTGCTATCCAGTGGTGGTGTTCCTCAATATCAACTGCAGTCATCTCAGACAAAATGGCATCTTGAAGAGAGTAAAAAAATACTTCTGTGCAGAAAAATAATTATAACCATATAGGCTTATAATATTGGCCAAATACTCCATATTGTAGTATTAGGGAATGTAGATATCTCACACTTATTGCTATTCTGAAGCTTTTCTCTATGAAGAAATGAAAAAGGAAGAGACTTGGAATAGAAAGCTGAACAATAAATCTTGGACATGAAAATACTCTGGTATCTAAAAATGTGAGCATGTGTTTTAATATTGAGGAACTAAACCCAATTAACTCCTTTCATAAGTTATCTAGTATTTTAAAACCCTCATTACATGTTATTTCTTGCAACTTAATGACATCCCCTTTTTGTATTCTAAGCTTATTCATTCTTTCATTTAACCAATGTCTCCTTTGTCATGTATTGTTCTAGATACTGAGGATACAGCACTAAATAAAACAAATTCCCTGACTTCATACTGCTTGCATTCTAGTGAAAGGAGACAGACAAAAATTAGTTGTGTAGTATGTCAGATGGTAAGAAATGCTACAGACAAAAATAAAGAGTAAAGAGTAATGGACAGTGCCCAGGAGTAGGGAATGGAGATAGTCAGAGAACACATCATTTTAAAGTGAGATATAAGCAGAGAATGAGCCACGTGGCTACTTGTGGACAATGTTCCAGGCAAAGGGACAGCAAGCACAAAGATACTGGGCAGGGGCATGCTGGCTTGCTTGAAGAAAAGCAAGGAGCCCAGAATAGCTGGCATTAAGTGAGCAGGACTATATTTTTCTCATTTTATTCTTACTGAAACAGTGGATAACTGTTTTCTCAATAACCTCATTAGTCTTCTTTAATCTGATTAATCCTTTAAAATTTATAGATCCTATTCTCTAGCTTTTTCATTAACCTAATGGTTTTTCTTTGAACCACCTCTGGAAACTTACTCCATTCTTCCAACCAGGCCAGGATGTACACAAGAGTCTTTTCTCGAATTTCAGCATTCTTAGCATAAGTAACTATTTTCTCCAGGAAATTTCCTCTCCGTTTCTTATATTCTGTAAGGGATATTTTTCTTCCAGAGTGCACATTCTCATCAAGAGTGTAGCGATTTATTATCCGCTGCACATTGAGCATTATGTCAGTCAGCTGCATGTTAATGTCCTGTAAGAATAAGAAGGGGGATATATTAATAAATTCTCAGTTTGTTGACATAATTAAACATCTGTTCATAAAAACTCTCAACAAAGTGGGTTTAGAGGGAACATATCTCAACATAGTAAAAGCCATATATGAAAAACCCACAGCTGGGGCACCTGGGTGGCTCAGTTGGTTAGGCGACTGCCTTCAGCTCAGGTCATGATCCTGGAATCCTGGGATCGAGTACCACAGCGGGCTCCCTGCTCAGCGGGGAGTCTGCTTCTCCCTCTGACCCTCCTCCCTCTCATGCCCTCTGTCTCTCATTCTCTCTCTCAAATAAATAAATAAAATCTTGAAAAAAAACCCCACAGCTAACATTATACTCCATAGTGAAAAACTGAGAGCTTTTCCTTTAAGATCGGGAATAAGACAAAGATGTCCACTCTCACCGCTTTTATTCAACAAAGTTCTGGAAGTCCTAGCCACAGCAGTCAGACAAGAAAAAGAAATGATGCATCTATATTGGTCAGGAAGAAATTAGACTGTCAGTATTTGCAGATGACATGATACTATATATAGAAAACCTTAAGACTCCACCAAAAAAAAAAAAAAAAAACTATTAGAAGTACTAAATGAATTGAGTAAAGTTGCAGGATACAAAATTAATACCCAGAAAATGGTAGCATTTCTATAGACTAATAATGAAGTAGCAGAAAGAGAGATTAAGAAAATAATCCCATTTACAATTGTACCAAAAAGAATAAAACACCTATGAATAAACTTAACCAAAGAGGTGAAAGACCTGTACTCTGAAAACTTTAAAACATTCATGAAATAAATTGATGGCACAAATAAATGGAAAGATATTCCATGTTCATGTATAGGAAGAATTAATATTGTTAAAATGTCCATACTATACAAGCAATCTACAGATTCAATTCAATCCCTATCAAAATACCAATAGCATTTTTCACAGAACCAGAACAAATAATACTAAAATTTGTATGCAACCACAAAAGACCCGACATAACCAAAGCAATCTTGAGAAGGAAGAACAAAGCAGGGGGTAAATTTTCAGATTTTAAGTTATACTATAAAGCTGTAGTGGGGCACCTGGGTGGCTCAGTCAGTTAAGTGTCTGCCTTCGGCTCAGGTCATGATCCCAGGGTCCTGGGATTGAGCCCCGCAACGGGCTCCCCACTGAGCATGGAGCCCTCTTCTCCTTCTCCCTCTACTGTTCCCCCTGCTTGTGCTCTCTCGCTGTCTCTCTCTCTCAAATAAATAAAAAATTTAAAAAGATTTTATTTATTGGGGCGCCTGGGTGGCTCAGTCGGTTAAGCGGCTGCCTTCGGCTCAGGTCACGATCCCAGGGTCCTGGGATTGAGCCCCACGTCCGGCTCCCTGCTCAGCAGAGAGCCTGCTTCTCCCTCTCTGCCTGCCTCCCTGCCTACTTGTGCTTTCTCTCTGTGTCAAATAAATAAATAAAATCTTAAAAAAAAAAAAGATTTTATTTATTTATTTATTTATTTATTTATTTATTTATTTATTTATTTGACAGAGAGAGAGATAGCCAGAGCATGAGCATAAGGAGTAGGAGAGGGAGAAGCAGGCTTCCTGCCAAGCAGGGAGCCTCATGTGGGACTGGATCCCAGGACCCTGGGATCATGACCTAGGCTGAAGGCAGATGCCTAATGACTAAGCCACCCAGGCGCCCCTCAAATAAATAAATAAAATAAAAAAAATAAAGCTGTAGTAATCAAAATGGTATGGTGCTGGAACAAAAATAGACACATGGGTCAATGGGACAGTATAGAGAGCCCAGAAATAAACCCACAAATATATGGTCAATTATCTTTGACACAGTGAGAAAGAATATGCAATGGGAAAAGACAGTCTCTTCAACAAATGGATTTGTATCAACCTACATTTGTAGCTTTCACTCTTATTTTAATTCTACATGTAGGTGTAAGCCTCTGTCTACTTCTTTATTATGTCTTCTAGTGAAGTTTGACCTAGAATTTACAAACTGAAATACTTGTTTTTAGAAATTACTTTCCTAAAAAAAAAAAAAAGAAATTACTTTCCCTTTATTTACCCTCACACTTGTATTAATTATTTAAAGTATGAGTATAGATATTTTATCTTTGAATTTCATCCCAGGAATGAAAGGGATGTTAAAATATTTTAAAAGGGCACAGTGAATATGATAGATAATGAACAACCACTCCACCTTTTCCAACTTTATTACTCTTTCAATTTGGTTTCAGACAAACAGCTCTTTCTATACTCCTTACAATAAGAGTAAGATTTGGATTTTTGCAAACCCATCATGGAAAAGGAATAATCAGATATTTAGGTGCTGGAAATATTGCAACAGATGATGCAAAAGAATGAAAGGAAGGGAGGGAGGGAGGGAGGGAGGGGAGGAAGATGCAATTGCAGCAAATAATTGAAGTCAGGAACACAGGATAGTGGAGACAAAGTTTGATAAGCCAAGTGATGAAAAACTAACACTACAAGCTAACCCATAGCACAGTGGTGAAGGAAAAAAACAATACCAAGTCCTCATAAATTCTTCCAGAAAACTAAAGAGGCAGTAGCAGTTCCTAATTCATTCTTTGAGGCCATTACCCTGATACCAAGGCCAGATAAAGACACTACAAAAAGAACAAATGAACAAACGAAAGGAAAGAAAGAAAGAGAAGAAAAGAAAAGGAAAGAAAGAAAGAAAGAGAGAGAGAGAGGAAGAAAGAAAACTATAGACCAACATCCCTGGTGAATATTGACGTAAAAATCCTCAACAAAATACTCTCAAACAGAATTCAACAGCACATTAAAAGGATTATACATTATGGGTAAGTGGGATTTTTTTCCCGGAATGTAAGAATGGTTCAACATATGAAAGCCAATCAATGAAATATACCAAATTAACAGAATCCTAGGAAAAACACCACATGATCATTTCAATTGATGCAGAAAAAGCATTTGACAAAATATAACACCTTTTCATGATAAAAGCATACAAAAAACATGGAATAGATAGAAACTTCCTGAACATGATAAAAAATATATATGAAAAATCTAGAGGGGCACCTGGGTGGCTTAGTCGGTTAAGTGCCTGACTCTTGATTTTGGCTCGGGTCATGATCTCAGGGTCCTAGGATTGAGCCCCATGTTGGGCTCCCTGCTCAGCGGGGAGTCTGCTTGTCTCCCTCTCTCTGCCCCTCCCCATACTCAAATAAATAAATATATATTTTTTAAAAGCCAAAGAAAAATCCAGAGGTAATATTCTCGATAGTGAAAGACTGAAAGGTTTTCCTCTAAAGTCAGGAACAAGGCAAGGATGCCCACTTTCACCACTTCTAGTCAACATATTACTCTAAGTTTTAGCAAAGAACAATTAGGCAAGAAAAAGAAATAATAAAAAACATCCAAATTGGAACGGAGGAAATAAAATTGTATCTGTTTTCAGATGATATAATCTTATATGTAGAAAACCCTAAAGATTACACACATGAAAAAACTGTTAGGGCGTGAATTGAATGTGTAGGTTGCTCTGGGTAACATAGACATTTTAACAATATTTGTTCTTCCAATCCATGAAGCATAGAATGTTTTTCCATTTCTTTGTGTCACTCTAAACTTCTTTCATAAATGTTCTATAGTTTTCAGAGTACAGATCCCTTACCTCTTTGGTTAGGTTTATTCCTGGGTATCTTATGGTATTTGGTGCAATTGTAAATGGGATTGATACCTTAATTTCTCTTTCTCCTGTCTCAGTGTATAGAAATGCAACTGATTTCTATGCATTGATTTTATATCCTGCCACTTTGCTGAATTCCTGTATGAGATCTAGCAATTTTTGGGTGGAGTCTTTTGGGTTTTCCACATAGAGTATCATGTCATCTGTGAAGATTGAGAGTTTGACTACTTCTTTGCCAATTTGGATGCCTTTTATTTCTTTTTGTTGTCTGACTGCTGAGTACTATGTTGAACAGCAGTGGTGAGAGTGGACATCCCTGTCATGTTCCTGACAGCAGAAAAGCTCTCAGTTTTTCCCCATTGAGAATGATTTTTGCTGTGTGCTTTTTGTATATGGCTTTTATTTTATTTTATTTTATTTTATTTTATTTTATTTTAAAGTTTTATTTATTTATTTGACACAGAGAGAGATAGCGAGAGCAGGAACACAAGAAGGGGGGGAGAGGGAGAAGCAGGCTTCCCGCTGAGCAGGGATCCCGATGCGGGACTCAATCCCAGGACCCTGGGATCATGACCTGAGCCGAAGGCAGATGCCTAACCATCTGAGCCACCCAGGTGCCCCTGTATATGGCTTTTATGATATTGAGGTATGTTCCCTCTATCCCTACACTGCGGAGAGTTTTCTTTTCTTTTTTTTTTTTTTTAAAGATTTTATTTATTTATTTGACAGAGAGAGACACAGCGAGAGAGGGAACACAAGCAGGGGGAGTGGGAGAGGGAGAAGCAGGCTTCCTGCAGAGCAGGGAGCCCGATGCGGGGCCCGATCCCAGAACCCTGGGACCATGACCTGAGCCGAAGGCAGACGCTTAATGACTGAGCCACCCAGGCACCCACTGCAGAGAGTTTTAATAGAGAAAGGATGCTGTATTTTTTCAAATGTCCATCAACAGATGAATGGATAAAGATGTGATATATATATATAATGGAATATTAATAAATATTCCATTTAATAATATTAATATATATAATTAATAATAATAATATTAATATAATAATATTAATAAATATTCCATTCCAAAAAAAATAATGGAATATTAATCAGCCATCAGAAAAAAATGAAATCTTGGGGCACCTGGGTGGCTCAGTCAGTTAAGCATCTGCCTTTGGCTCAGGTCATGATCCCAGGGTCCTGGGATCGAGCCCCGCATCGGGCTCCCTGCTCAGCGAGGAGCCTGCTTCTCCCTGCTTGTGCTCTTTCTCTCTGTCAAATAAATAAATAAAATCTTGGGGAAAAAAATCTTACCATTTACAATGATGTGGAT